AAATTATGTTTATATCATTTGTTAAAAGTTTTTATCCATAATATTATGAATTTAAAAATGTGCAATTGATATAATTGAATGATATATTTTTTTTATCAATTTATTAATATAATTTTAATCTTATTATTAACTGCTAGAAAAATATAAATTGATTTATAATTTAGTAATTAAAGATTTAATAAAATAAATAAATATTACTATTAATATTTACTATTTGATTTTAATTAATCATGATACTAAGAATAAAACAATGCTAATTATAGTATATTAAATTTAAATAGTAAATTTCAGTAATAAATTAAAAGTAAACTGATTCTCCATATACATATTAAAAAGGTAATAGCTATAATATAATTTATATTAGCAAGATACACAAAAACATAATATATAAAAATATAAAACAACTACAGTTTATTTTTAATATAAAAATTTATTAAATAGCTAATATAAATTAATTTTTATCTAAATTTAATACACTTTGATCTTTATCTTTACCAACTTAAACTCAAAAAAAATTTAAAGATATTTACCGTATATCGCGGGCCATAGTACCCCCTATGCATAGTACCCCCCTTGAAAAATTTCATAGAATTGTATAGTACTCGGGGGATATTTTACAATTATCTCATGATCTAATGATCAGATTTGAGCCATCTTTTTTTTGTTTGATAGCTCTTATTGAGCTCTTCAAAATAAAAAAAAGATCATTCAAATTGGACTGGTAGATCGTGAGATATTCACAAAAAATGGAATTTTTATGCTTTGTTTAGTACTCAGGGTACAGGGTCAAACCCCGATTTTTGCAAGATACCCGGGATACTGTGGCCTGCTATATACGGTATATAAAAATAAAATATAAGAAAATAATATAACTAAAATAAAACAAAATAAATAAAATATATAAAATAATATAAATAATAAAAATAATAAATATAATATAAAGATTATAACTACTTTAATCTAGGATAAAATAATTCAGGTAATATTATTTTTATAATTTATAATTTTATTTTGACCGATAGGTAAAATCATCTGATTAATTTTATAATTTAAGTATTAGTTATTTACTAATCTAGTAGTATATAAATGGGTTATCATCTGAAGGATAATGGCCCATTTATATACTAAACTAGATCAGTAAATAACTTTTTTATCATCCTAGATATACTAATTGGTCCGCCAGTTTATAACTGGCAGAAAAAATCCTAAATACCAATTAGTAGCCAGGTAATAATATATTTTATTAATTTTATTAATTTTGATACAACATATACGTAATTTAATTTAAATAATAATACCTGAATCAACAGAATGTTATGTGATAACATAATATTTATAATAATTATATCATTGTTTATATAAATAATATAATTTAAGCCTTCTATTTCAAAAAAACTTTATACTTAACATGTTATTTCAGTTTTAAATCCAAAGAACATTTATTTGTAGCATAAAAAATAACCTATATCTTATCTGTATTTTGTCTCTAAATAAATCATATTGGTTTTTATCTCTAATTACAGTTCACGACATAAATATCCGGAATTTTATCACAATATGTAAAAACATAATAAATTTTATTTTTTTTATTTCAAATTTATACCATTAATAGCTTAAGATGTGCAGATAAACATACTTTAAAAGTTAGTAATTTATCGTATAACCATTATTTTCTATGACCATGTTAATCCGATCTCTTATACACATCTAGATGTGTATAAGAGACAGCCATCGGAGCTTGAATTATCGGAGTTGTTGTTATTTTTTCATTCTTGACGGGAAGCTTTCCTACTGTTAGGGTTATGACTTCCACGGCCTCTCTTGGCATAGTTACCAGACATAGTAGAGGGCTTTGAGTTGGGAATATATAAAATATAAAATTTTATTAGTAGCTTGTATTATTTTTAAAAATAATAAAAAAATTATTTTCGTCGGAAATTTTCGTTTTTGAAAAATTCAGGAGAGAGTTACTACTAGTCAAAAACCAATATATGTAAATGCCCGATATATATTTGATTTGTCATTGATGATATATAGGTGCCCGATATATACCCAATAACATAGATTTTGACC